ACTATAGCATTTAAACTTATAATTTACATGAAGACCGCAGCTACTACCACATTATAGTAATTTTAAATATAAAATTTTCTCCGTGTACACAGATGAATTATTTTAAACGAAACTATTTAACTTCTTTTGGCAAGTTTTATTTTTACAAATTGAAACCGAAAAATGTATTTAAATAGATAATAAAAATAAATATTACATTTTAGATGTTGCACGTGCGTGTGATGAACAAATTCTGTTCGTGGAAGACAATGTTACAATTGCCAATGAATCGCAATCTACTGCAGGTATAAACATATTTGTATTTTTATAAGTATAAACATTAATGTTTGTAATATTTTTGTAAATATAAAAATTATCTTGTTTTATAATTACAGATAATAGTACGATATCGAATAGTGATCTAGATGATCCGCATGATATATAAAATGATGATCTAGATGATTCACATAATATTAAAAATGATGAAATTCATACATGTTGTAGTAAGTGTTGTCTCTTTATTTTCTTATTTAAGCTAATTATATTTTTTAATAATAAATAAAAACTTAATATTGGTCTCTTTTCATTATTATAGATGCATGCCGTAGAGAGAGAGACAGAGTACAAGATAAAATATTTAGAAAATTGAATCTGCTTATCAACTTCATTGCAAATCCGGAAACAAACCAAATAGTCGTAACAAATGAAGCAAATTTATTACCAGAATTTCCATTAGCAACAAGAAAATCATTTTTAGATATGGAGAAAGATTTACAAACAGAAAAAATCCGGAAACAATTTGTGAGTATTTACTTCTCAAAACTAAGGCTATTATACACTACTCAACAAAATTAAAGGATCACTTGTTTCACCCTGCAAAAAATAGGCAAATTTCGAGATAGAATAACTTCGTCAAAAATCATCGTATTGAGATTTTTTATAAAGCATTTTAAAACCTGAAATCTCTACTTTTCAGACTTGTACATAAAAAAAACCGTGTTACTGATATTTCATAAAATTACACAATCATAAATGAAGATCCATCAGATCTCAAAATTTTTTACGAAATTTGCAAAGTTCCATGGAGCCAAGTAAAAATTGTACACAAATGCGGTTTACAGCTTTCGAAAGAATGTATCTTTACCTTTAATTTGCTTTTTTAGATAAGACCTCTGTACAATTCTTTTCACCAAAAGTTATTCAATCATCAATGTTGAAGCAAAAGGTCATTTTTACTTCAATGTTGAATAACTTGGTGAAAAAAAATTGTACAGAGGTCGATAAAAATGCAAATTAAAGGTAAAGATACATTCTTTCAAAAGCTGTAAACCGCATTTGTGCACAATTTTTACTTGGCCCCGTGGAACTTTGCAAATTTCGTAAAAAATTTTGAGGTCTAATATATCTTCATTTATGTTTGTGTAACTTTATGAAATATCAATAGTGCGGTTTTTTTTAAGTATAGGTCTGAAAAGTAGAGATTTCAAGCTTTAAATGCTTTTTTTTAAATCTCGATATGATGATTTTTGACAAAGTTATTCTATCTCAAAATTTGCCTACTTTTACAGGATGGAACAATTAGTGATCCTTTCATTTTGTTGGGTAGTGTATCATAGTGGTATAATACCTACTAAAAAAACTATCATATACGTTCAAATCCACTGCATTCGAAAACGTTATTACATTGCAAAATAATATCGCTTATATAAATTTATATATATAATATATATAATTTTTAATTACAGAATAGTAAAATTGCGAGAATTGGAGGAAATTCTTTTAGTGGGAAAACAAGAAACATATTAAAATTTGTTTTGGTAGACACATTGTGTCAAAAATTATCATGGACAGGACGAAATGAGTCTCTGGGAATAAAGGATACAGTATTTGCCAATATTATTATAGGTAATTTAATTTAATAATTTTTAATGTTTTTTAAATTTTTTATGTTAAGTGTAAAATCTGTAATTATATATATATATATAAACAATTTTATAATTATTTTAGAATATGTGTCTAATGCAGAGCAATGTAGTTTGCACGAAGTACAAAAAGTGATTCAAGAGTGGTTACGGCATGCTGGAGATCGAGTTAAATATTCCCAAAAAACTTGCAAATAAACACAAACACACACAATTAAATTAATCAAGTTCTGAAAAACTTATAATTATAACTTAATAAACTTATTAAACTTATTAATTTATTTAACTTATATTAACTTATTTAACTCTTATTAAACTTATTTAACACTCATTAAACTTATAATTATACATCTGTAAATATATGTACGCTATATAAAAAATTTAAATAAACAATGGCCGTGTGTCAATATATTTATACACTGCCAGCATTAAAAATCTATAATTATACGTAATTTTAACTACAATAAAATTTATAGTTTACGTTACGTGTAATTATAGATTTTCAATGCTGACTATGTATAGATATATTGGCACACGACTAATTTAACCTAAAATTAAACGTCTAAAAATTATTTCCCAAATAAACGTTACGACGTCTTAGAGACGTCTAAAAAGGTCGCAAATGTCATATAATATGTAAGAATAATGTCTTTAAGACGTCTAAAAGACAGTAAAATGTCCTTAAAAAACGTCTAACAGACGTCATGATTTAAGACGTCTAAATACAGGACGTCTAAAAGACTCCCTAAAGACGTTATAAAATGGGTCATAAGACGTCTTAAAGACGTCTTAAAGACGTCTTTCTGATAATTTTAAGACGTCTTGAAATATGACTTTGGGACTTTCGGACGTCTTTTAGCCGCCTTTAAGACGTCAAAATGTTGTCTGGGAACTCTTTAAATTTTTTTATTTAAAATATATACTTTACTTTTCAGAGCTTTTACAAGTATATAAAAATTATTAACACATTTTTGCGTTTATTTTGACATCTTTAGGAAGTATTTGTACAGTTGTACATTTAAAACAAATTGTATATAAATTGTTACTAAATATAGTTAACAAAATGAGGAAAATGTACTTTTTTATACAAAAATGTAAAACTCTGAAACAAAGATATTTTAAGGAGAAATACGTTTCAACATCTTAAAGTCGACATTCTAATGTTACGTACTTTTATTGAGATTTTCTCCGTATTTTGAGTCAATGCATTAAAGCAATTTACTCGGGGTGAGTCAATGCATTTAAGCAATTTACTCGGGGATCGGAGATTAGGTTGTGCGGTTAATAATGTTCACTGGGAAGTATTGGATAGTTTTTCGGAATACGGGAAAGGATCGTGATTTGAAATGATTTTATTTGAAACCTTAATTTCCTCTCTCGCTGTCTTCGTCCGCCTTTAGTAGGCATGGAAATAATGCAAAATTATTAATATCCAGAAGGACTGCTGTAAGACGGGGACCACGCTATTGGCAGCGACAATCGTAACAGTCTTCTGGATATGAGATAGTTACGAATATCTTGAGAATGCTATAAGACGGGGGCCACGCTATTGGCAGCGACCATCGTAACAATCCTCAGATAATTATGAATATTCCGAGAAAGTGCTATATAACGGGGGCCACGCTATTGGCAGCGACAGTCGCAACAATCCCTCGGATACTCGTATATATGTACTTGAATATATGTAATAAATGCAGAGCAGAGATTTAGGTTTCAGCGATTTGATGTATATAATATTTTCGTTTAATAATAAAAAGAAAAATATAAGAGTGAAACAGAACAATAAAAAGGAAAATATGGAATGTATTTCTGAGGAAGCGCGAGGATAGTTCTTACCTTGATCAAGTTAATTTCTGACCAAAACTGTATGTAAGAATGAAATGAAATACTAAACTGAATTAACTGTGTCGAACTGAACTAAAAAGAATTAACTATACTGAATGGAAGAATAGAATTAACTGTATTAACTGCGCTAAAAGAATTAACTGTATTAACTGAACTAAAAGAATTAACTGTATTAACTGCGTCTCGACTGCTTTTGAGAGCTCCTTTTATATTTTGGAAATGAATGTGGGAGTGTCCTTTCAGGACCAATCAACACTCCTCAAAATTTGGTAGAACCTATACTCGCGCTTGGT